GAGCCATGGGGAACACCACTAGTGACAGGCCACCAACCAGATTTAGCTCCATTGCCAAAAAAATCTCTGGGCCCAGCCATCCAGTCAGTTTTTTACTCATTGAAGAGTCCACCTATCTAAGCCGCGAGCAGCCAATTTATCCAGGAGGATGCTTTGGGAGACTGTCACAGGCCTTACTAAAGTCTAGGTAGACAACATCCACAGCCTTTCCCTCATCTACCAAGTGGGTCACCTTGTCATAAAAGGAAAACAGATTGGTCAAGCATGATCCTTCTTTCAAAAGTCCATGTTAGCTGGCCCTGATGCCCTGATTTTCCTGCATGTGTTGTGTAATGGCACTCAGGATGATCTGTTCCATGACCTTGCTGCGAACCGAGGTCAGGCTGACAGGCCTGTAGTTCCCTCGATCATGCTTCTGACCCTTCTTGCAGATGGGCGTTACGTTTGCTAACTTCCAGTCTGCTGGAACTTCTCCAGTTAACCAGGACTGCTGGTAGATGATTGCGAGAGGCTTTTTAAGTTCTTTTTTCCATTCCCCCCTTTTTCCTCTGGCCAGTTCCCTCATTACTCTGTGGTGAATCCCATCGGGGCCCATAGACTTATGAGAGTCTAATTGGCTCAGCAAATCACTAACAATCTCCTCCTGGATTAAGGGGGCTTCACTCAGCTCCCCATCCTTAACATCTGGCTCTGGGGGTTGGGTGTCACCGAGCACTTCTGCCTTTTCCTCATTCCCTGTCACTACAGGGGATACTGTTTTTGTTGTACATAGTCACCCCAAAATACTATTCTCTCCTTCTAATGCTAAGCTGGCTACAGAAATTACTTTTCCTTGTTCAGAGACACTCACTAGCAAATGACCAACAAACCTGCTTCACAGCTCTGGGTAACTTTAAAATGTACATGATGCTATAACCTCAATCACCCCAAGAAAAAGACTGTCTTCAGGTCTGACATAAGCAGATAAGGTATTTCATTAACAAATGTCTTGGGGAATTAAAATTTCTGAAGAAAAGAAGCCTTACTGGAGATGGTCTTTCTCCCTTACAAAACACAGCTTTTCAGAAATTATGTCCAGTCCCATACATTTTTATTGTTTTTAATTTGGAAGCCAGAGGCAGCATATAGAACGAAAATCACAGTTTGTCTTCTGGATTAATAATTAATACAAACCCTTTCACAGGCTTACTATACAGGCTCCACTCATCCTATGAGGTCCTCAGAAGTCCTTGAAAAGGGAAGGTGGAAGGGCTTCTACGTGCCTTATTTGAATTGAACTGCATGTTCATTTTTAATCTCAGGATTCACTTGTCTAAGGTGACAGAATGTCAGTTCTGATAATATTTAATGTCTCCTTACAGGACAGGGTAGTAAGTGGTATAACTCGAGCCAAGTTTCAATGTTTAACTATCATGGTTGCTAAATATGACGGAGTAAATTTTCTTTTGCTGTTGACAATGCTGCTGTTTCAGAATTCCAGACTGTAAAACCCAGAAAATAGCATCTAAACCTCACTTCCAAATTACTCTTCAGCCAGTGGAACTGCCCATGCAAATACCTGTAAGTTCAATATTTCCGTATTTTTTCAGGTATCTTATCCTCTTGGAATTGACAGTTATTTCCACCTCACATTAATCTTTTAATTTCTGGAAGAGACATAGTTTTGCCAATTGTAGTTGTTCAAAAATACTACTTACACCACTAAGGATATCGCTAATAGCAGAATAATCAAAAGGTTTTATCCTTTGGATTAGCTGTTTACACTTCGATCTTCTATTGTGAGCATAAACACCAGAGACACTGAAGACAAGAACTTTGTCCAAGAGATGATACTGGCAATATTGTGTACATCAAGCATTGCCAAAGGGTTCTTCAATAGATCAACATTCCGCCTTATTGTCAAGTGGTACTCTGAAATTTTCTCTTCAAAATCCCATCAGCTCCATTTCCACCATAAGAACATATGGAGTTGGGCACATGGTAAAAACAGGAAAAGAATTTAAGTAAATAAGTTTTATCCAATCATCTGTGGTTGATGCAAACGTAGACCTATTTCTGCTGGCTGAGACAGTCCATTGTATTTGTGATTTTCCTCTTTTATCTAAAACATACAAAATATTTCCCTATGAACTCCCAAGAATTCCAAGCAAGTCAAGTAATTCAGGAAACAAAACACCGTGAAGTAGTTTTATCCATCCCTCAGCATTCAATATGTTTCACAAAGGAAGTCAGGCTCTATTTAAGAGGTTTAAACAGTAAATTCTCCCTCTTTTTTCGCATCCTGATAGTAAAAGATTCATTTACATTTGTGATGAAGAAACAAGATTTAGGTTTTTTATATTTCTTAAATGTGTTATCATAAAGTTTGGGTTTTTTTATTTAAAGAAAATATTGAAGACATTCTCATGGTATTGCAGCGTACAAAAATCAGGGTACAGTCTCATGTGGTGCAACACTGAAGTCTAAACAGTAGAATTCAGGTCACAACACATCCCAGCTATGAGTTTGCCTGTGGACTGCTATGGTTAGAAACCTGCTATACTTCAATGCACACCTAACTCCAATATTAAGGACTACTGACCCATGTTGTGCACATATGAGAAAGGTTACACTTACTCCAAGTCAGTGCTCGGTAGCTGAGAAGATATATCCTAATAATTTCTATTCTTTTATATTTCAGGAGACTGCCAAAACCAGACAGTTACTTAGTCTCTGCTGTTTCCCTAGACAATGTTGCTAGATCCACATGTCAATACCAGACTAGGAAATGGAAGCATTAGAACTCGAGTAGCCATAGGCTACTAACATAGGCTCAGATCTTAAAACATCACAGATGTGAGAAGGTATTAAGTGTATCTGGCAAAAAATATCTCTACCTTTCAAACTGATTATTTAGGTGTGAGCTCCAAAATTTTTATTCTTAAGTTTCTGAGCCTGTAGAATGTCTTTTAGCTTTCTCCAAAGAGTTCTGCTATGACATCCGTCAAGGTCTGGCATTAAATAGTCAGAAGTAATGCCAGCAATCAGATCATGCTCTCTAATCCTTTTCACAATCGCAACCAGACCAGAACTGAAACAGGTAAACCTGGGAGCTCTACAAGATTTCTTAATTTCTAAGGTGCCAGAGAGTGATGTCTATCTTACTCATGTCCAAAGTACAAGTAGAGTTTACTACCTATTGTTCATTAAGCTGAGCTACAAACAAGTGGAAGTTGTATTTTTAGTTAGCATCACTAAGAGCAGCAGTAGTTTTCTGGCTTTCTATATGCTTGGGACAGTATGTTCAGACAGTATCTGCACCCCACTTGAAGTCAGTCTGCTTACAGCTAGTGATACTTGTATCAGAGTGGAATACATTCTGTGGGGGTGTTTTTTTGTTGCCTTTTTTTTCCCCTCCTCCACAAAGATAAAAAAAAGTAGAAAAGTAGGTCTGGACAGAACATCTACAAGGAGATCCATTCCTACCTACATAAAGCTTCTGGTGTAAGTACTGGATGCTTGAAAACATTTGGAAGTATCTCTCTCAAAACAGAATTTAGGTCTTCATACCTTAGATATCAGAATCAAGAAGTCTTTCCCAATATCTAAACCACAGACACTAATTCATAATAAAGTGCCTAAAATTATTAATTTGACTGCATTTGGAAGTAACCGAAATGCTAGAGTGCTCTTCCCCCACGTACAGCCCCTTTTTATGAGGTAAAAATAACTAGGTGGTGGTGGAAGCGGCAGGGGGCAGTACCCATTGACACGAAATCTCAACAGAAACAGCTAAACGAAGTTCCACAGTCTACATTGCTCTTAACTGACAGTCATTGAACACAAGCTTATAAGTCTAATAAAGACACAGGCATATGTCCTCACAACATATTAACTTCTGTTTTCTTGCTCAGACTAAGCATAAAACAGCTTTGGAGAAAGGATATCAAAGTCATCACTTCATTGAAAGATTACTTAAAAATTATTCAGTAGGGAGCTTCACTCTCTTCTTTCACTGAGTCATTCCTTCAACTCCAACTATCTTAATTACTTTCAGACTCTTAGTCTTTACCCATAAGAATCATTGTATTTTTGATGAAATATCCTCAATGTCTTTCTTTGCCTCTCCTCTCCCAAAATACGATGAGACATTTAAAGCTAGCATCTACCTTATTCCCTCTTCTATCCACTCTAGCATATATTCTGCCTTGTCCAGGCAACACAAGAATAGCTCTCTGAAGTAATGGAAGCTCCTTCCTAGCTACATTTCAACTTACTAATTGTCATTTCCCTGACATCAATGCCTGCTTGCCTACTATGTCACACCTGATTGATTTATCTTTTCTTAGAAGTTCAACAGCTTCCCATCCCAGGTCTACATAACTGTTTTTTTTTCCACTCACCTTCTTTGATTCAGAAGTACAAATCCCAATGCCTATTTCTGAACCACGCCCTCGTTCCAGGACCTACAGCTTCTACTCAGTTCCACCACAGCAACTTCAATCATTATCAAAACAGTATCTACCACTGGAAGGTTAACCTGTTTCTTAGTGCTAGAACTACACATTTCTGTGTGAAAACAATGCTCTCATGACTGATTTAGGGTGTCCACTGACATAGACAATAACATTACACTTGGTTTATGCATTTAAAGCCTTTCATCCCCTTCATACATGAGAAACCTCTATTTGAATGACTTAATTTCTTGAACACAATATACAGTGTGAAGTTCACAGCAAATTCAAAAGCTACATGAGTAGGAGTTTCATTTCTCTGAATACAAAAATAAAAACCTTTCTGGATATGTAATAGTTTACAAATAAAGTAATATACCTTGAGTAACAAAATAACTGTCTAGTGGCAAATAACAAAGGAACATAAGTTCAATCAAACTTACATCAGTAGCTGCTGTCAGGATTTTAGAAAGGATAACTCTTGCTAACCCATCTCTGCTGTAATCCAAACTAGAAACAGTCAATTTTAACAAGTGATCCTGGTTCTTCAAAGAACAAAGATTAAGAAGACTGGGGGGGAGGGGGGGGGGAGAAAGGGGAAGGAAAAAAAAAAAGGAGAAGAAAATAAGAATTAGTATTTGAACCCACTCAAATCCATTCATTTATTCAATCAATAATTTAAACTTCAGTACTTTGAATTAGACTTTCATTTCCATACACGCAGAATACAAAGTAAGTTCTCATATGAAATGGACTAACTTTAAACTGTTACAGCTGTTAGAGTCAAATTGAGACTAAATCATACACTAAACTGCAAGGGGAAAAATCCCAAATAAACATTTTTTTATAATTGCTCTGTAACAATTTTGTCAGCATACCTTAATTAGTGATTATGAGTACAAAAATTAATGTTCATGAAGCTCTATGAACAATTCCTCATTGTGAAACATTCTGTGTTGCCATATGGTTAGTCCTATTAACTGTCTAGATTTTATGGTAAACCCAGTTTTTTGAAGCCAGCAAAAAACTTGCATTCTAATAATCAATGAAAACAACTGAATTGAAAAAAACAGAGTACATCAAAACATCTGAATGTTCTCTTCAAGTTTACTTTATTTAAGATAAACTGGTATTAGCCACTAGCTAATTTACTCCCAAAGGAAGGTAGGTTTATTTGTACCTAACAAAATTAACTTCACAGCTTCATTCAGATATATTGGACTGAAGTTTAGGTACAACATGCATCATCACATTTCACAACAGTATGATACCTGCCGGTTTTTCATGGTTTGTGTGTTTTTTGTTTTGTTTGCATTTTATTCCACCCTCTCCTCCCATCTTTTCAGTACAGTATCATCTTTCTTGATACTGACTTCTGTCAGAAAGTTGTGGACAGAAAAAGTAAGCCATTTTGTGACGCAATCACCCATACCTGTTCAGTAATGACAGATTAAAAGATGCCTTCTTAAAAACCACACTGAAAACCCCATGCACAGTTTACAATTTTCATAACTATTATACCCATAAGCACAATTCAAGCAGAATTAAGAACACTCACCACTGAAACACATTACATTTTTCAAGCATTTTCACTCCATGAGGGTGACAAGAGAGAGTACCAAAAAACAGAAAGTAGTGCTGGCTAAGGGTATTTAGTAACCCATTATTTTGAAGACTACGCTCAGGTTTCATTCCAGATGAAGAGTTGAGCCAATGTACAATATCTTTAACTAACTCCTCCAGGTAACCTTGTCCATCCTAACAAAACAAAGAGTAATAGTGTTTACTAGTAACAGAACTGGGCCTCTCTTCTTTACTGAAATCCATCATTTTAAATTCCTTAAAACATACAAATAAAATACGGATACAAAACAGAAATGCTGGCTGACAAACACAATTCAGACTAAAGAAAAAAGTTCAAGGCAAATAAAATGATTTTAACTTGGAGACATTCTTAAGACCAATTCTATTCTTTCCAGGAAAAGGGTTGTTCAATGATACTTTCCTTTGGCCTGAGGCATAAAATCCTTAGTACACAAGAAGAAAGGAGGTAGAGAAAGGAAGGATATATATATAGCAAAAATTAAAAAACTCCAAACCCTAAGCTGCATTTAACAAAGCTGTATTTAACAAAACTTCTACTTAAACACAGTTGTCTTCCTCAAGTGTCTCATCTGGACAATTCAAGATTTTAAGTTTTATTTCTTAATTACACTGATCATTTTAGATTTAACACCCCAAGCCTACAGAAGTCTTTACTAAAGGTTCTTCATCTAGAGTGGCAAACAGCAGCACTACTCATTCTATCTCCAGTCTTCTAACTGAAAGTATCTTACCTCTTCTGATTCAAGAAGAAACTCAGTAAATTGACAACCCACCACAGTGAGCTGCTTAGCCTTGGCATAGTCCAGATCCAGGTTGGCATACAGTTTACTGCTAGGCTTGTAAAAATAAAGCAATCTCCTTACAAACCTATGGAAAGTAAAAAAGATTTTGCTGTTTTTCAGTATGACAAGGACAGTCTCCCAGTACAAAATGATGCTGGTAGAAAAGATATGTTATCACTAAATTAGCTTATTAGCAATAAATTTTCAAAATTGTTAAGAGTAGCAGGTAGCAGTAGCAAGTCTATCCAGACATGATTTCAGAGACGCAGCTGTACTGTGAGTTATAAAGACTTTTCTATGCTATGATTTAAAATAAGCAAAGGAACTCAAAATCTCTATGCTCTTAGAAGCCACAGCTTCCTTCTCATTCTCAGGCTTGTAATTTATTCTGCTGTATGTGCTGTTTCAAAGACTATGCTATCTAGACTCACAAAAAGCTAAAAACGAATCTGTGACATGAGTTTTCTTCAGCTTTACTAGTTAACGCTACTGTGAAAAATACATTTTTGTGTTCTGCCAGGAAGAGGCCATATTTATTTAGCAACAGTATTTTCATTCGGCTCACTTAAGCATTTCTGAATCATAACACAGTGATTGCAAATGCAGACTCTCAGTCAGACTTTCTGAAATCATGGTGAGCAGTATAGCTCGAGTTTTGCATTGCAAAATTAAATCTTCAAAGAGCTTCCCCTTGCCAGTTCTTCGTCAAAAAATAAACACATATTTGTGCTTTAAAATAACACCGAATGTTCTATCTGAAGGTACATATGTCAAGTATTAAGAAAACTAAAGCACTGCGCCTCTAGTTAAAGAGGTGAGAGTAAGCCACTATCCCCCAACTCCAAACGCAGGACAAATTATAAAGGAAATCTGAAGGCTTCTTTAAATTTTCTCAAAATAAACGTATTTTATTCTGGGTTATTAGGAACAAACATATATATTAACACATACATTTATAATCATGTGTATATTTGTGTGTATATACATTTACATGTATATTTACATGGTAAAGTTTTCAATCCTTGGTAAAGTAAGGAGAGAGGACAGTAAAACAACTACCCTAGACTTCCAGAGGGCAGACTTTGGCCTGTTCAGGGTGCTGGTTGAGAGAGTCCCCTGGGAAGTTTTGCAGGGGAAAGAGGTCCAGGAAGGCTGGACACTCAAGGAGGTAATCTTAAAGGCACAGGAGCACGCTGTCGCGATGTGCCATCAGATGAGCTGATGGGGA